TATTTTATTTCTCAGGGTTGCTTACTGCAAACTCAACCTTGAAAATTGATCCAAGTAAAGAGAATTCTGGGCATTGCTTCTTGGCATACTTAGCAAGAATGTGCAAGGCAGAGCTGGGACTAGTGTAGACAAGTGAAGCGCCCAGAATGCACGATTTAAGGCGGCATTTACTCTCAGTGTCATGTAGGAACAGGGGCAACATTTTTACAATTTGAATTTGCGTCTCCCTCCAATTTTGTGTCTTAGTTCACCCTAGTCCTGGGACTGGTGCCTGGACACTCAGGACCCCTGACACCCTGCCTCTCCCAGCCCAGGGCTCTAAAGGCAGGCAGATCTTTAACAGGGTCATAGAAGATTAAGGAAAATTCTCATCTGTAGAAAGAGAGTAATAGACAGACTTCAGCTAGAATGAAGTAACTGTGACTAGATGTGCCCTCCTGGAATAAATAATTGAAAATTCAGACAAAATATATTTAAAAAACTGTTTCAGACATAGCCAGCACAGGGTTGTGATCCTGAAGCAAAAAGAAACAACACAATTTTTCCAACCTACTGTGTTGAGACTATTTCTAGACTGTATAGCAAAGAGGAGAATCCCACGGGCAGAGCTGCCTTAATAAGATGAAGAGACAGAGATCAGAGTTCAAGGAGGTGGAGATGATTAGAATTTTTGGAGCAGAATACCAGAGAAGAAGAAGCTAGGAGAGAGAGAGAGAGAGAGAGAGAGAGAGAGAGAGAGAGAGAGAGAGAGAGATCCAGAAATCTACACAGGGATTCTCAAACTGGGTGCTGAATACTGTGCTGTATATAAGATCAGACAAAGTATTTACTGATGGGAACTATACTAGTAAGCAGGACAATTCTCAGAACTAGTCCCAACTAGTCATAGTGGAGATACCTTGTGTTTTGTTTTGTTTTGTTTTGGTAGAGAGCCCAGAAAGATTATGACAGGAAAAGGACTAAACTAGTTTTAACAGTAAAGGCTTTGACAATCAAAAGCCAAGAGAATTTGTTACTAGTATTCGCACACAACAGGAAATGTTAAAAGTTTTTTTTAAGGTAGAATGGCAACGATACCAGATGGAATTGTGAACCTACACAAAGGAATAAAGAATACTGGAAATGGCAGTGTGAGCACATTTTAAAAAGCATTTTTTTCCTTGTTTTTAAATGTCTTTAAAAGGTAATTGGCTGTTTAAAGGAGGAATAATAAAAATACATATATAACATATAGAAGTAAAATGTATGACAAAAATAGCACAAAGAATAGGGGAATTAAAGCATCTTTTTGTGACATTCTTATGCTACTCATAAAGTATTACAATATTGTTTCAAGGTAGAATGAGACAAGTTGGAGATGCATATTGTAAAACCCAGAATAATCAATAAAGAAATGAAAAAAAGAGGTATAATTAATAGGCTAAGTGGTTGAGCATTGACCCATGAACCAGGAGATCATGGTTCCATTCCTGGTCAGGCCACATGGCCGGGTGGCAGGCTCGATCCTAGTGGGTGGGCATGCAGGAGGCAGATGTTTCTCTCTGATTGATGTTTCTCTCTCTCTCTCCCTCTCCCATCCTCTTTTGGAAATTAATAAAAACATATTAAAAAAACACA